GCAGTTTAGGCTCTTAATCAGAGGTGGCTTGTGCATGAATCTCCCTGGCCCCTATCACGGGATGCCCATGCTTTCTGTGATTCCCAGGTTATTGTGTTTGGATTTGAGGACTGCAAGTATGAATTCTGTTTGGCTTGAGCATTGAGTTGCTGTTGCTCGCACTAAACCAACACCAAACCGTCACCTCCTTTCTTACTGGCAAAATTAGTGTGCTGGGAAACACACTCCTGACCCTGGTGTGATTCGAACACACAGCCTTCTGATCTGGAGTCAGACGCGCTACCGTTGCGCCACAAGGTCAGTTCTTGTTTCAGAATGCATTCATAGCAGAAGCTATTTGTGGGCTGTCTGCCACTGTTGGGTTTCAGGCCAAGAAAGAGCAGTGCTTTAGTAGAGCTGGCCGAGGTTGAGGACTGTGAGACACGTAACAGTACTTAAAACAAACAAACAAACAAACAAAAACTTCTTTCCTACCCTTTCTCCCTTCTTCTCAACCCTGATCCCAGGAAAAAAAAATTGGCATCCCTCCATTCATCACCTCTTGAACTTAAACTTAAATAGATAGAGGGTGGTGTAAAAGAGGGTGTGTCTGATTTTGGACTGGAAACTTGGTAAATGCGTGTTTCAGCCACAACATGAGCCCTATTCACTGTTATTGAAGCCCTATTCAGGTGTTTTATAGGCTGGTACATTCATAGAAGGGAACACTAAGCCTCAACCCACCATTATGATAGCTCAGTGGTTTAGGTATCCAGCTGCAGAACTAGAGGTTGGGCGTTCCATTATTCACTGTGTCTCCTTCACCGAGGCTGGACTCAATGATTCGTAGAATCCCTTCTAGATCTGCAGTTCTGTTGTTGCTGTTGCTGTTCACAATTTCTGTGTCACGTCTGAAGAGCAGGATCCTGCTGACTTGCAGGTTCTATACAGAAGAGCACCTATGAAAGAACCCAGGACCGTGAAATTGAAAATACTGTGGGATTAATTTGAGTACTTTCCTCTACCTGCATATGTTCAATGACTGGGGGCTATGATGGTAACATTTATGGATGCCCTCAATTATTGTGGCTTAAAATATTTGGTAATTGAGCTGATTAAAAGGGAGGGACCCTGGCTAAATCTTGAGAGGTGCTCAGGACTTTATGTGTAGGGTTAACCATGCCAGCATCACTTTCCTTGAGATTTCAGAAGCAGAGCCTGAAACTTAAGAGGCAGGCCCTTGCAATTTTATGGTGGGTGGTAAGGAGGCAAAGAGGCAGTCCCAAAAGCAGCAGGATCAGGGAGCTGGACAGGGGACAGACTGTATTTGTCTTCAGTGTGGAAGGGATTGTCACTCTCAAATTGGCCTTCTCAGCCACACTAGATGCTGTTCCAAGAC